GGCTCTTCAGCTTCCTCCTCCTCCTCCAGCGATGCCACCCCGGAGGATGCAACGTCGGAGACTTTCCGGCGGAGTGGGAAGTCCTTGCTCAGCACCACCTCATCCTCAGCTGGTGACAGGCAGGCTTCGGCGTAGGACACGGAGTAGAGGGAGTCCTGGCACCGGAGCCGTGCCAGGCCCCGCAAGGCACTTTGGCTGGCCGGGGGGGGCAGCTTGGGCAGCAGCAGGTCCTCGCCCCCCAGGGAGCCCAGCAGTTTGGCAGTGAGTTCAGAGGGGGACACCATCTCCAGGCTGCAGAGGCTGGAGCAGAGGGGCTCCGGGGAGTGAGGAGTCGCTCTCGGGTTCGCAGGAGCCGTGCCGCACGCCCAGCTGGCACAGGTGACCCTGCAGCAGGTCTCGCAGCAGCGCGCTGGCGGGTACCGTGCCGGGCAGCTCTGCAGGGAACCGGGATGCCTGGGGTCAGTCCAAGGCTGGTGGAACTGGGGGCTGCCAGCTGCTCCCCACCCTGAGCCCCACAGGATAAGAGCAGTGGGACAGGAGCAGCCCCGTGCCAGGCACCGTGCCCCCTTTGCCCAGAAACTGGCACTGGTGACCAGCAAAGGAAAAGAAAAATATGTTCCAGCACCGGGAAGGGCGTCACATTGCAGAGCTTCCCCATCCCTGGCACAGGCACTGCTTGCCACAGTGCCAGGCAGGGGCACAGCCCCATAAGGGGGTGGACAGGCACGAGGCACCCCGCTCCAACTCTCAGCAGCAGTGGGACACCAACACCATCAGTGGGACAGTTCGCCCGCCCAGCAGGCACCCACTCCCCACAGCACTTACCTGTGGGCTGGGAGCTCTCCGTGGAGGGCATGAAGTCCTCATCGTAGGACTCATCGTTGGAATCGTCCCCATCCACTGAGGACCAGGCTCGCAGCTTGGCCTCGGCGATGGCAAACTGCTCCGCCACGCCTGGCATAGGACAGGCACAGGTCACACACGCACACCAGGAGGTATATCCAAAACCCCCCTGCCCTGGCACCTCTGTGCCCACGGTGCCCTGCCACTGATGGATGGATGGATGGATGGATGGATGGATGGAGACCCCGCCACCCCTGACCTCAGCCGCAGCTGGGGCGCGGCCCCGCTGGCCCACAACCTGA